CCCTCTTGCTCCCTAGCATCTCCATGAGCAACCTTGAGCTATGAAGCCCTGTCAGCATCCGCTTCTTGTTGTTGTATTAAATAATGATATATATTAACAGTCAGCATTCATTATTTGGTGTGAATCACACAGAATTTCTCTCCATCTTTGGTGTGTGGACTTTTAAGCCCAAGAAACATGAACAACAAAGCATTTTGGAAAAGGAGTAAACGTTTATGTAATCTAAGAATTTAGTATCTCTACAGTAAGTCTTGATGTCCTTGTATCTTCGCACATTCTTTATGGAGATCCTTATCTTGACACTTGGATCAATGGACAACTGAGCAGCCACACAATCTGTGGTGCACAACTCTGAAGATCCAATTACTGAGGGATTTGTGAGAAAAACATATATCTTAGCAAAATACCAAAAGAATCAGAGTCCCACCAGAGTTCCTGAAAGTAAGGACTGTTGCTACGCAGGGGAGGAATCTTGAAACAATGAAATTCAGTGGTGCGGCAGGTGGAGTAGGATGTCATTGTGTTCTTGCAGAATCCTGAGCTTGCAATATAGGCCTACATATGTGCACTGTCTTGTACCCTACTGTTGCCTATAGATGCACTGCACAGAAAAAGCATAAATTATTCACTTTTTTCAGATTATTATAACTTATTCATACCGGACGGAGCCTATAGCATCAAACAGACTGTGATAGGGCCTATCCTTTATGCACATATTTTCACATAAATTCAATTTAATGTGTTCTTCCTCATTTTGCCAGGGACCTTGGAGACCACAGAACGACCCCTGCTGGTTCCCACTCCCACTTTGAAAGTGCATATTAACACAACAAACAAGACATCACTCATAGCTTTAGGTGGGTGCAGCTGATTAACACACACCTGACTGCAGTGCGTTTCCCACGGTGTGAAAAAGCAACAGAACCCCCCTTTTCTCTTACCTCCTGTAATTGTTCCAGTTCCTTCCTGAGTGTCTCTTGCTCGGTCTCCAGGTCTAAATACTTCTGCTTCAGCGCCTGGTTCTCCTCCAGGACGACCAGACCGCACTCTGCAGCCCGGATCTTCTCTCGGTTCGCCTCGGCCAGCTCCTGGGTAAGCCGCTCCAACTCGGCCCGGTACTGATCCACCGATTCCCCGCATCCTCCATCGGCGGCCATCGCCCCTTTCTCTCTGTGTGTCTCTTGTCTGTTCCCCTGTCGGTCTGCGGCTCCAACCACCGTGTCTCCGTGTCTCTGGACAGTGCCACAGAGGCGGGCGGAGGCTGCGAGATGCTGATATCCGCCCCCTCTCCTGACAGCCAGTGCAGGCAGGCAATGGAAATATAAAACCAAATAAATAATATTTACCTCGACAATGTTGCCAACAGCATCTAGCAGCAGGTAAATAACATTGAAAGGACCATAACTGCTGGTAGATATGGAGCCTTGCGATTTAAATTCAGGTCAGTGTTGCCTTCAGTGTGACACTCAGCAAAACATAATTTCTGCTTATTCATGGGTGCAAGGGCGCCACCTGTCCGCTGCTTTCAGGCACAGCGTCATTTCTATCTATAGCTATGCAAATTCTACACGTGTCAAAGTCCCAATTGCAGCCAATCACATCCCATTGAATGAACACAGACTTTTTTCAAATACTTTTATACTGTAGTAGCACACCTGCCTCTGTACTAGATAAATGCTCTCAGTAGACCTATTCACACTCAGTTATGAACAAGTATTGCATTGCACTGGGTGAAGAAGTGACAGAAGTCTTGCGTACAGCTTTCACACAGTAGCAGCTGCCTGCAGACCTCCATGCCATTGCTGCAGAGCCTGTATATACTTTATGTCCACTTTCCTTTTTGTGCAGTTTAAAAATCATGTTCAATCTAGTAGTAAAGTATGTCTTTAACAGCAAATGCTTTGACTTGTGATAACAAGAAAAGCACAGGTGCTTTCTAATAACAGTAACAACCGCTTGATGAAATGCAGATAAAATAATTATTATTAGTTTCACCTGCGTTTGACAAGGCGAGATGTTAGTCTTGACAAAGGTCTACTGGCTTCAGGGTGGAATCTCTCTATCTACTCTATCCACCCATCTCTGTTTATTGTGCTCAATATATGTGGTACAATAAACAGACAGTAGCCTATTTATTGAAATGAACAGACTTCTGCCAGCACAGAAACACATCACCCCTGACATGGGTTCCCTGTTTGAAAACTGCATGGCTAATGTACAGCTCAGTAATGTATTTTAAAGCAGAGTTTAAGGTCCACAGCTGGATGATGGAGAGATTTTGTTGCTCACCTGTTGGCAAATACCTGAGGTAATCTTAAGGAAGGGCTATAATTGATATTTTGACAATAACGATGTATCAAATGAAATTGCCTAACCTAGTACAGAGAATAATCACCTGAATCTGCAGCCCCCCTCAGCTATACAGAGTTTTATAGGGTGTTTCAGCTCATTGCTCACCGCTCTCATGGCATCAATCTGAGCGGCAGCAGGCACCTGTTTTCAGCAGAAAACCCACTGTACATTACCTGCTCAGAACCAAATGGCAGACAGGCAACTAGCTGGTGAACATATTAAAGTATTTAGCAGCTAAGGGGCCAGATCTTTCTTCTTGGGAGTTTGGTGGAGACCAAAAACAGAGCTAAAAGACATATATTATTGGATGCTAAAAGAGAGTGAATATTGGACTTACATTTGCCAAGGGCCACAAACACTACTCCAAATGAATAATAATGTTATTCCATTACTTCTGGATGTGTAAATAAGCCACTGTTTGCCATATCAACTTAAAGACAGGGTAGGTAATGTATTTCAGAAGCTTTTATTGTTCTATTTGTTGAAAAAAATCAAATGCTCTGAGAGAAAACAAAAGAAAAAAATCAGCTGTCTGTGGCAGGCCTGTAATAAAGGATTGGCTGGTCTACCTGTCTGTCAACCTGCATGCACTCTGCACTCATTGCACATGATCTTGTGTTTTAAGGGGAGTGGCTTTGCAAGGGGGTAAGCCACAGTTGGAACAGTGAAGCCGACCAAAGCCTGCATGGAAGGTTCCATGTAGGCCAAAAAATGACGTCAAAACCCGGTGACCTCCCGTCACACATGAGATATGTAACCATATTGGTTAGATTATAAATGGTGTTTGGCAGGTGAGCCTGGTAGGTGGGCTGATTAGACAGCGACAATCTGAGTCAGACAAACACACTGAACCATGAAACTTTTTGTTGGCGCAGCTACGCAGCTACCAGAATTACAGTGTATCTGCTGGTGCTTTAACGTCATTAAACCACGATTATGCTGCGTGATCATGCACAGTAGACGCTGGTGCCAACAGGAAGTAGCCCTGTGGTAGTATTTTATTGCTCCAAAACTGTCTTCACTGCTGTGCATTAAAATTTGCTGAGGGGCTTTGTCCAGTAATATATTGTCTATGAGCTTTGGAGGCATGGCTGATGGGCAGGGGTGGGATTTTTTCAGATGGATACTTTCAATATCCAGCTGTCTCTTGCTAGTTTCTCCAATATTGCCTACCTCAGCTTTAAAGGGTGATACTATGTCAATGTTGTCTTAACAACTTGTTTTCGCTGACAAGTGGACAAAAAATAAACTGTTATTGTAGTTTTTGATTGAAGATAAAAGTATATTAAATACTCAAAGAAAACATCTTATTCATCCAGTCTGTGTCAACTTATGTTACATTAGAAAACGATCTAGATATACTTATGTTATCCAGAATTTCCATTATTTCCATTGCTGAAATATCTAAATGCATTAGTGACCACTAGAAATGCCGGCAATCAAACCAATTATACAGCCAATCAACATGTAAGAGAGTCTTGTCGAAGTGAGTTCCTCTCAAAGTTGGTCAGTCCTGTGCTTAACAGCAGGATAGACAACTGAAAAAATAGTTCAAGACAAGCAGTATTGACTAGTCCCTTCAATAACTGTCTGTGGATGGATTGATGCCCCTTTTGACCTGTATTTTAGTGGTCTCTGCTGTGTTATTTATTTGTCCTGAAAAGCAATCTCAGAACATGTTATTCAGAGAATTGTCATGTCAGGTGTTCATCTATCATAGGCTACTTAGATGCCAATTTGCAATCGCAATAGTAGAACCTACATTATGATGAAAGGATAGCTACAGAAGCATGGTCATAGTTTTCTGATTGACGCTCTCCACCAATTATTTTTGTTGTCTTAAACCCCACCCCTGCAGCCAGGAGTGAAATAAAGTATATCACAGCAAACCATAAAGGGTTAAAGAAGATATGACCGGGGTGAAAAGTTTACTCACAGGCTTATTAAATTTAATCAGTTATGGTGTTGATAGTGAAGGCGATGCTGTGTTATCTTTGTTTTATAATTTATAATTATTCGCAAATGGTCTATGTAACACTTCTTGGAAAGAAGCGATTCATCTCAATGTTGGAGCCATATCTCAGAACAATTTCACTGTTTGAGGTGAATGAAAACAACACAGACAGTTAGCCTGCACTTCAAGTTGTTTAGTCATTATTACACGGAAGGCTTTGAAATACATTTACTGAGGTAATATTAGCTTAACAAAACGAATAAACATGAATAAAAACATCTATTGATTTTTGTACTTATTTAATTTAAGTTACAATTATGTACATATATCTACAGCACCAATGTACAGATATTGTCTTTACCTTCAGCTAATATTTCCCCTTTGATCCTATTCAATAAGTTCTCTAAGTTCCCTGGCTGACCTGCCAATAACCCCTATGTACGAGGCCGAATTAAGATAAGGACAGGTTGTCAGAAAGTCAAACAGATGAACAGTTTATGGCAGCTGTGTATCTTATCTCTGACAAGGAAGTGTGGTGTCATGAAAACATCAAAACGCTCTCTTGCACAAAAACACAGCTCTCTACCACCAAGTATACCACAGTAAAGTGTTCCCTGAAACCTTGATCTGTACAAATAGTACAGACTTATCACAATGTATTTTATTACAAAGAGAGTCAACTGATGCCAGGATATTCATTTTGAATGTCAACTTTATTGGTAAATGAAAAAAAAAAAAAATCCAGTTGCGAACTTTCTTTCAGGATGACAACACAGTGTAGAGAACACAGTTGAAAGCTCAAGCAAACAGTTATTAAATGTTACATATTACAGACTGTAGTTGTTTTGTGTATCACCAGAAACTCATGATCTTTGCACCATGATGTGCAATGTAAAACGCTTTGACACAACAGTGTCATCATTTATATCTGTCTGTCCCCAGCGGGTCAAAATACAGAGTCCTATGATCTGCAGAATGTGTGTCGGTCAGCGGGGCGGGAGTTGATCTCGCTCTTAGGAACAGCCTTGATTGGAGGGGTTTAGGTAAGCAGCACGGCAGCCAGCACTCCGCCTGCAGCTGGGGCTTCTGTAAGAGCTGGAAGAGTGCATGGTGATGAGAAGTTATCTCACTGAATGTTGTTTAAATCACAGATTTAACCTGTGTTGGCAATACAGTACGATCACTTTTGATTAGATTTTACACAGTCAAATCATGTAGTTGTTTTTGTGAAAAGACTGACATTGCATCTTATTGCTACACAGAATGTCAGCTATCTATTTTCTTTTTTTTGTGAGCATTTGCTTGTAATTTAATTTTACAGTATTGCATTTTTAAATAGTTTTTATTATTTTTCCTTATTTTTTTTACTTCAACTGCTGTTAAAATTTTCAGCTATAGGACTATAATGAAGATGGACAAATATACTATGCAACAAATTATACTTATCATATGTAGTAGGTGCAAAGTGATTGTTCTTGTGTTACCTCATAATAAAGCAGGGGATGACTGGCTGACTGTATGCGTTGACTGGCCATCAGCTCTATATCCTTCAGTGTTTCAGCCTTCCTCCATTTTGCTCTGCGGTTCTGGAACCAAATCTGAAGCACAAACAACACATGTGAAATACATTTACATATCACAACTGAACCACACACACACACACACACAGATACAAAGAAAGACCTATTTTGTTACCACTTAGGACACATTGAAAGAATTCATCATCCATCAGTTCTTTATTACACATTTTTATCCTGTACTGTGCCATTTATTTATTTAAGTAGCTGTGCAAAGACTATTCCTACCATTTCATTGAGGACTATTTAGAATAATCAATTTAGTGTTTGAGGACATTCGCTGAATTGTTAGTAAATACAGTTTGACTTATTGGCTCCTTTTTCAATTAACTCAAATGTCAGCAATACATCAGTTGCAAAATAAAGGTTAAGTGTGGTCAGATTTGACCAATTTTACTCATAATAGGAATCAAATGATGATACTGGTTTGACATATCAGAATAACATCACATTATTAAATATTGCCTCATTTTAATGTGCTGAATATTAAGACATGGCCATTAAGCCATAGTTGAAAAAATAGAGCTATGAGAGGGGTTAATATTCCGAGAAAAACTCCTAATTTCAGAAATGAAAGTCATACAATTACGAGAGAAAACGTGAATATTCTCTGATATTATAAAGAAATAAATGTGCCAGAAAACTCTACAACTCTATCTATCTGAGACTTAACTATCTAAACTCTCTGAGATTAAAGTCACAAATTTGCCAGAAAAAAATAGTAACGATAACGTATCATTATTATAAAAAAAACTCGCAAAATTCTATTTTTCAGATGTGTTATTAAAGGCTCTGTGAGCTAAAAGCAGGGCAGATGCTGAAAACGACAGTGTGACCATGACAAAGACGCGACACATGCTTCCAAATGGCTTTGTTGCTGTCTGACAGCTCCACCTCGAAAGGTCTGCGCTGACTCTTATCTTGAATTATTAATGACGTAAATGTACGACTTTAATCTCGGGGAAAGTTTTTAACTGAACTTTAACTCCGTAATTTACGAAAAAACACGTACAATGGGCTTATGTCGTCATACAATAGGCTACTGCAACATTTAAACACACCAACCATTAACGGACTGCTGAATATTGCCATGACAGTTCTTGGTAAAAAAGCAAAACTAACAATGTCACTCAAGGACACCAGTGCGCATACTCGCTCATTTCTAGAAACTGGCAGACAAGGATGAATTATGCGTCCCACCTGTATTCGGCCCTCGGTGAGGTGCAGCCGAGAGGCTAACTGGTCTCTGGCGTTGACATCTGGGTAGTGAGTCTGCTGGAAGACTTTCTCCATCTCCTGCACCTGGAACGGCGTGAAAGTGACCCTGGTTTGCCTCTTTTTCCTCTCACCTGTGCACAAATTACAGTCTCTGACTTCTTCTTCATCAGCATCATTTAAACATGCACCTCACCGTGTGACTTCTATTTTAATAATAATAATAATAATAATAATAATAATAATAATAATAGGGATTTTTTACTACTTACGCATGCAGTCTGTCGTGGCTTTTGGAGACTCTTCAAGTCGTCTGATTTGTGGAGTTTCTACTGGCAGAGAGAGCATTCCAGCATTAACAGGACTATTTTCATAACTATGTTGTAGCAACTCCCCTTGGGAGAATTTCAAAAAACAAAACAAAAAGATACCTGAGAGCTGATTAGATATTCTGGTGTTCTCCTTGATAACAGACCAGTTACGCTGAGCTATTTTATCTTTTCTGACACATGTGGGCCTCCTCAGTATTTCTTCAATCGAATGGGATAGTTTTTTGCGTGCCTGAGATTCCCTTTCTTGATCCACGCAGGACTCCTTCTCTGAGTCTCCTCTATTCCACATTTCCAGCAGTGTATCCTCCGTCATCAGATGTCTCTTAAGAGTTTGGAAGAGCTCAAAATATCCCGACCTCCTCTTACGCACACCTCGTCAACTAAGGTGATGAAGGTAAGGTTGTCCTCCCTCTCCTGTCAGCCTTTGTTTGACCCGGATCACATGGTCATTATTAGGGAGGAGCGAGTGGCAGTCTGTAACTTCTAGGAAAACTCAGCAATCAGCATCCGTTCTTGTCAAGGTTTTTTTTCTTTCAGTGTCCCTGAAGAACTTTTAATTGAAGGTGTGCTCATTGTAAATGTGTAAAGGTATAGCCTACTCCTGATACAATTATCTGCCCTTATCACTCTTTCATACACACACAATTTGATAGAACTGCTACAGTTAATCTGACCTTTTATTACCTTCAGTGTAACCTGCATAAAAAAACAAATTCATGCATTTTAGGGTACATCTCCCACAAGGTGGTTCTGTAGGTTGATTAACACAGACACTAACCATCTATAAGGCATATTTAAATTCTTGCTTCTCTTTCTTATCACCAGATTTATTGGAAGGCTAACTAACCTTTATCACCTTGGCCTCAGTATGCCCCCTCACACTTCAGTTCAACTCAGAAACACTGGGAGCAGTCATGTGTGATTGGTATGTCGCCATCTAGTGGTGTTTGTGATTCAGTGCATTTACCCCCCCCCCCCCCCCCCATTAGTGAGAATGTAATATTATGATGGTGGTGAAGGAAATATTCAGACCGTTTACTGTCTGCTTTGAAGATGTTACTTAAGTCAAAGTATGTAAGTACAATCAGGACAAAGCACTTAAATAGAATTAAAATTAAAAGTAGGCTAATTAATGTAGAATAATCCACCCGTGTGACTGTTATACTATTATAAAAGATTATAGTTACTTATGCTTTAATGTAAAAGCAGGCTTTTACTATTGTAGGTGGAGCTAATTTTGGATTAATCTGCTAATCTCCATTATTACATTGATTGTTTGGTTTGAAAAAGTGCTGTCACAATTATCCAAAGCCCAAAGTTCTCATTATGTTTATCTTGCCCAATCTATAGTCCAAACATCGAAATGAAAATACAAAATATTTAAATAAGTAAGATCATCAAAAGGAAGAGCAGAAAATCACGATGTAGCGATGTGATTTTTAATATGATAAAAAACAACAACTGCAACAACAAGCATGTCTGAAAGCAAAAGAAACATTGCTACCGGCTCCACGTGGAGAAGTTAGTTCCAAAAACTTCAGTACTGTGGAAGGGGTTACAAAAGTAAGATGTACAACAAACCACAGTAATATGTAAGAAGTGCCAGAAGACTGTGAAGACAACAGAGGGCAATACAACAACCTTATTTCACCACCTCAAGCAGAAGCACCCGGCCAAGTATGATGAGAGCCAAAAATCCCAAGAGGAGAGCTCAAAAGCTATTGTAAGAATAAAACCAAATATATCCTTCAGTATTTTATCATATTATCAAGAATAATATTATTGGAGAAATACCCTGAAATATAAGGGAAATGGTTTAAGGGCCACATCTATCCACACCTAGCTGGAACCATGAAATGTTTTTGCATAAATAATAAAATAATTGACTAATTGTTTTAGTTATATTAGTATATGCTGTTGGGTTGTTTAATTTATAACAAAACATCCTCTTTGTATGTTGTGTATGCACAAATCTAAATTTATAAAGTAACTGGTAACTAAAGTTGTCAAATAATTGTAGTGAAGTAAAAATATTTCCCTCTGAAATATAGTGGAGTAGAAGTAGAAAGTGGCATGAAAAAAACCCACACACTTGTGCCTCAATTTTGCATTTAAGTACAGTACTTGAGTAAATGTATTTCGTCACACTGCATTACGAGGCCTAGCTGTATACCATACCAAAGATCAAGTGATTTTAATAGACCTTCTTGGTGGCAGACATTTTGACACTCCATAGGAGGAAAAGCACATGTGTATTTAACATTAATGATAGCTGTGTTTTAAACTTGACACTACTAGTTTTAATGCAGGCTTTGCTACACTAAAACTGAAACCAAAAATGCATCATCAGGATCTTTTTCTCAGACTTCAGAAAACTCCTCCAGAGCCAGGCTGAGTAAACTCCCCATGCAGAGTAAGCTGACCTTCATGTGTGAAATCAGTGGTGTGCACCTTTAATATATCAACATCACAGTTTACAATGTCGACATCACTTGACTCAATTGACAGATGTAAATTTTCGTCTGAATGCAGGTTTAATTTTTTGAGTACAACATATAGAGGAGCAGTCATTTAATAATCAGTTCCAGTATGGTATGCTACAGGAACATGAAGCCTGTAGGTGGTGCTGTTTTCTTACTCCTCCGGTCCCTCCAGTCGCAAAATGTGACTCACGTGTGTCTCTTATTGACTTTCAAAGGGAAGATTACAGCTAATTTATTTAAATAAACATACATGTTACCCTAGAGTATGGTGAAAAACAAACAATTTATGAATAGAACTTTTGCTTTCTGTCACATCTGAGCATGGAAACAAAGGTTAAGCTTATTATTTAAATGCACCCAAAACTGCACTCTGTTAAATCAGAAGGATCACGGGATTTTAGTTTTATAAATGATGTCTCCCAGGTTGCCTCTCCTCGGGACTTTCCAGAATGCTACAGTAGGCTAAGGATAATGACTTCATTGTTTTGTTTTTCAACAATTTTTGGTGCTGTTTTAGTGGTATAATATTATTTGCCCAGTAAATCTTGATCAGTTTCCCTGACAGTCTATTACTGGAAAAAAGGTAATCTTTAATGTTACATACTACACCTCTGAGGTTAGACAATTTTTTTATTTTATTTTAGACAATGCCTATCATTTTCTCAGTCATACTGGAGCAAAATATTCTCATATCTCATGCAAAGCACCCAGTGAATGCTTATGGTTACCATAAATTAAAATCATTTATTATTATGGCAAAATATACCTTCTCTTAAAAGTTAGCTTGGCATTTAGTAATACTGTAAATAATATCTTGATATTATGATAATGTAATTAAAAATCATTGAAATTGAATTCTCAATATAGACAGCATTCATCAACATTACCAAAATACTGGTTTATGTGCTCTAATATTCCAAATGTGACCAAACCTTAAGATTTTTTAAAAATCTAATTCTTCTCTACAAGAGCTGAAAATCTTGAGAAGGAGCAATGGCCTTTTTTTTATATGTATATGTGTTCATTTATAGTTTATAGTTCATATTTAAATTTGACATTAGGCCTTTAAATGAAAACAATGTTCATTATCTCCTTTTAATTTCAGCATGTGCAACTCATTATTCTGTAAAAGATTCCCAGCCCACTTAGCGATTGATTGCGTATTGCTCCCTCGCCCAATTTGATGGAACAGTCTCTCAGACACACTTTTTAAAAGTACACTGTCTCTGTGGTTTAATGTGATCATGTGCCTCTGATGCAAAAACTCGAATGTGAACGATACGACCAACAATAGTTTGTGGTTCAAGAAGGAAATAATGAAATCTTACTTCTTTCTTCACAAAATTGGCTCTGCTTTGGTGACAGGACACATTCATAAAAATGATTCATGTTAAGGTAGAGCTGTGATAAGCAAGCTTTAATGAGCAGATGACAGCCGTAGCTCATTACTCTCAACTCCGTCTGTGACACTGGTTTACATTTAATACCCGGCTCACATTTAACATCATCTTTATGACATGATTCTGGCTTAATTCAGCCTTCACAAAATAGTTTAAAGGACTACTGGCACCGTCCCAGGCCTTCACTACCTGACATGTGATGGATTCTTATATAGGCTACTGTGCGCAGTCACATGCACAGAGCACAAGACCTCATGATGTCCCAGGGCTGCTTCTCTCTGTGCTTTGCCAGTTTCATGTGAGCTCAATTTCCTTCAACTATTCTATTTGGTGTATTTTTTCAAGCCCCCATTCCTACTATTTAAACAGTCCATAAAAGTCAAGACAAATGCTCTCTCGTAGTAACTTGAAACTGTCTTTTGAATTCTTCCCAGACTGTTAGAAGAGAGCATTATCTCTGAATGAGATAATTATAAGTTTCAATTTTCTAAAGTAGAAGGGTCTCATATACAGGTTATTTGCTGGTTTTCTGTCAGATTTGTGGTTCAGAGATGGCAATAACAGATAGCTGACTGGTTGGTCCAGACTGAAATAGCTTGACAATTAACTTTTAGATGGGTTGCCATGACATTTTGTACAAACATTTATGGTATGAATAATAATAACTTTGATGATGCCTCTCAGTTTTCCTTTAGCGCCACCATGAGGCTGACATTTGTGATTTTGAATGAAATGACTCAACTATATTGCTATGTAGCAGTAGGGAGTTAGAAACTTCATTTCAACTATATAACCTGTTATATTGTGACAAAATAAATCTACCTACCTACCTAAGATTGCCATGACACATTGTCAGAATCAGAATCAGAAGGAGCTTTATTGCCAAGTAGTGTTTTACACATACTAGGAATTTGCTGTGGTGATAAGGTGCTACACGTAGACAAACATACAGTCAACATAAATAAATGTAGAAATATATAAATATGGAATGGAAGAACAACGTTACAGATATATACATGTGCATTATTAACAACAAAGATCAACAATCAACAACGAATATGTACGATGTGCCAGGTCTGTGCCCAACACGAGATGAAACAGTATTTACATGTGCGGAGACATTTGTATCATTTGCAAGGGGGGAGTGTCAGTAGGGGACCCGGGCCTTGTTAATGAGGCTAGCTGCAGATCTTTCCTGCTCGCCTCAGAGTCCTCGAGGCGTACAGGTCCAGAAGAGAAGGAACATTGCAGCCAATCACCTTCTCTGCAGAGCGAATGATGTGCTGCAGCCTGCCCTTGTCCCTGGCAGTGGCAGCAGCGTACCAGATGGTGATGGAGGAGGTGAGGATGTACTCAATGATGGTGGTGTAGAAGTGCACCATCACTGTCTTTGGCAAGCTGAACTTCTTCAGCTGCCGCAGGAAGTACATCCTCTGCTGGTCCTTCTTGGTGAGCGAGGTGATGTTCAGCTCCCACTTGAGGTCCTGGGAGATGATGGTGTCCAGGAAGCCGGAAGGAGTCCACAGTGGTGACTTGGGAGTCACACAGATCCACCTGCTGTAAATACAGATATTCACGTCTCCGTCAGGATAAATTGTAATAATTTTGGTAATCTTTTCATCTAGCGCCACCATCAGGTCTAAATTATAATTTTTCCAGTACTTTAGTTGATGTCTAAATTTGCAAACATAAAGGCATTTTCATCAGCCTCAGCTGCACTTTTTTTGTATATAATACACTAAAGATCATGAACATGGTAAACAGTATTGCATTATAGCATTAGAATGTTAGCACTGACATTGTGAGCAGGTTAGCAGGCTTACTTTAGCATTTAGCTGACATTTACCTCACACCTCGCTGCTAGCATGGCAGTAGACTCCAGTCTTGTTTTAGACACATCCTCAGCAGTCTTAAAAGGTTAACAATGCAAGATTTGCTGATTTTTGTTCTACAGTTTTTACTATAAATTCTACTATGGAAAGTGTGGTGTGCGTGTGTTAAAAAGACATTTTTAGAGAATGAAATTTATAGACCAAAGTGCCATACTGTAGCCTCCTAGCAAATATCATAAAACAGTGATTCTGTATTTCCTGAAACAGAAGGAAAACAATGAGATTCATAATATATATCATATGTCAAACATTTCTTGTAACTCCAGATTCTGTAATTGTAATGTACACACTTTCAATGTATAAACATATTAAAAAAGGATCTAATAAATTTGTAATAGTTTAAAAAACTCTAGTTTCCAGACATTATGTGAGTGAATGATTATGAACAATCCTGTGACAAAGGATCTGAAAAATACACCCAAACATACAGATTCCTAAAGTGTGAGAATCTGAGTTTTTTGCTGCTATATTACAGATGCCCTCTTTTAAACCTTCTTAATTAAGCAGATGTGGGCTGCTATCACACTCTTAATTTGACTACAATTCTATTTAATCTAATATCATTTAGCTTTACGGTAAATTAGGAAATGAAATTAACATTTACTGAACATTTAACCATCATCAATAACAGCTTTGTACCACGTGATAGTTTGGCAACATGTGATAGCTATGAAAGTTTGCCCTACCAAAACATATATTTGGTGTTAAAATTAGAAGGAATGTAGTTATAGCTAGTAGCATAGTAGACTACATGATTTGACTTGACTGGGTCTTAAACAACAGGCCAGAGAAAACAGCAAGAAGTGCCTTAAAGGATCTGCTCCCTCAGCTATAGAAACTTATAAACCACTCTTGAGGAATTATATCTTTTTTATTCTCTGTCAGCTGTCAGAAAGTACTGCTGCTATGAGATTAAAAGCTATCAAAGAGAGTGTGTTTGAGAGACCAAGAAAGAGAGAAATAATATCGCCGCCTCTCTCAAAGGGTATCTGCTGCCTGCCAGATGCTGGTTGGTCAGCTGATTGGGTTCACATGAGCTGCTGGTGGGACTCATTTCAATCAACAAGTGCAGCAGTCTCATGTCTGAACTCCTGCTCCTTCCTACCAAACGGCCCGGCCCACCCGTGCTTCCTCCTCCCAGCTCTCTCCCGTCTCTGGCAGACTCTCTTGATGTTTTATTTTCTGGCTCAGAAGACCACCACCTGACCCTATAGGCTGAAGCTGACATGGCTCCAGGAAAGGAAAGTAATGGTCTTGACAACTATGAATTTGCAGTAAGTATAACTTCATTTTCTACAAGGAAGTGTTTTGAATAGATTGCTTACTTAAAATGTTCTAGTGAAGCTACTTCTGATGATTGTTAAGGTTAAACTAAATAATTTTAACCACTTAGTCATTCTTCTTTTTCTTTTCTACCAGTAAATAATCATATAAAATTCTGTGATTCACTTTTAAATTATGTGAATGTAAGAACATCCGGATTATATGTTTAACTGCTACATGGTGATTCATCTCTCCTCAAATCACTGAACTGGATAATACATGCGTTGTGACGTCTTTTAGCACCAGAATAGAAACTTGATGTTATAATCAGTTAATAATTGACGCCAGATAGAATAGCCAGAAAAGTAGCGTCATGGATACATATGAATGTGTTTGTTTACATTCTTGCTCCCCCAATGCTTAAAATCACATTATTGAATAGATAAGTGACACGCTGTTTAGTCAGAGAAACAAAAGCATTTTTGTGGTTTCAGTCCAAACCTTAATTATATCCAAAAGTGATGAAACTTATCTGGATATTTGTGAAATAAACAGAAAACTAATTTTGCTCTCCAGTATTTTTAATCTATATCTGATTAAGGAAATAAGGAATTGTTTTCATCCTAATGTATAATCTCTAAATTTTTATGGCTATAAAAGTCATGAGCTAACTACACTTACTAGGGATTATCAAAATGAGGAAAGTTTATGGGCGTCTCACATTTGTACTGGTTAAGAGTTTAAACATGTCAAAGCATTCCATTGTTATTGTTGGTGTAAGTTTGGACCCAAATAACAAAATGACTACTGATTGCCACAGTGCAAAAAAAAATATCTGCTACATGCCATCATTTAATATGCATTATTAACCGATCTCTATCTTCCTTTCTGTCTGGCTAATTGAAGCATGAAGGGCGCTTCTGTGACCTACCTGACACAAAACATGTAGAAGAAATGGACACGTCATGTCACATGGAGGGACACAGCAACAAGCTTGCATATTGTGTAACAGATGTACCTCCCTGGTACCTGTGCATCCTTCTAGGCATCCAGGTACGTCAGCGAAGGGGTTTTAAGATCATGTTTGACAATATGTCTCCAGTGATTTCCTAATCAAAGGCCTGTGTAGCATAGCCTCTGATGCAAAGCAAACAGTGTCACATGAGAGCTTCCATTTGACACTTCCTTCGCGATTGGTTAGACCTGGTTCATTTATGTTAGCGTGTGTGCGAGTGTGAAATCTGCTTCAGTCAGTGAGAGTTTCTTTTATGCATTTAGCAGCCTCAGAAGTCCTGACAATTCACTTTTGACATTTTACTTTTTAACATGTTAGATTTACAATTTACTTTTCTACTTTTACACTAATACCATTACAAAGACCATTTCTACAACTACCATGGATCATTCTAGTACACATCTAGTCCACAGACTTTATAGATAAATATACACTAATGTTCAGTGTGCTGTAAACATGCAAATATCAGTTTATGTTTGGATGATTCTTTAGCCTGTAACTAAGGCAGGTTATCCCCCCACTGCACAGAAAGTACTTTAATACTTGTTACATGTTAATATTTCCACATGTTCGTACATTAAACATAAACTAAATGTCTTCATATTTTTCCCCTGACTTCGCTCTCTCAGCACTGTTTGACTGCATTTGGAGGTATCATCGCCATCCCGTTAATCTTGTCTCAGGGGCTGTGTCTGCAGCATGACGGTGTCACCCAAAGCCACCTCATCAGTACCATATTCTTTGTCTCTGGTATTTGCACTCTGTTGCAAGTTACCTTCGGCATTAGGTAAGGAAGTAAAGGGGAGTTAATAAGCAGTAAGGTCTTTGTAGAATGCTGGGCTGATAAATGTCTAGTTTAAATTGAGATGGTTGCAATAGATTTCTTGGATCTCAGGATAATTTACATTCATTCTCACATGAAGTAACACTCCCGTGCGGCCAGACTGGCTGTATAAAGACAGAACAGAGAGGCTGGGACAACAACAGGCAGAGGGAGTATGACGTCATTCTCTGCTCAGGACACCATTATCCCACTATATCTTTACAAACAGTTGTTTGCTGCTATATTAATGTTCAGAATCTCATATACAGAACCTTTAACAGAAGTCAAGCAGAACTGCAGAGTTTATTAAAGTGGAATTAACTAAGTGACTTCTTTTGATTAAACAAGCAGAACAGAGAAGCCTCTCAGCTCAGCAGTCTTTTAAACTATGAAGCCTGCCAAAGTTAGTGTGCAGCCTTAGCCATGAACAATATAACAATATTCTACTGTGTTAGTGGGCACAACTTCTATTCAAGGATTATCAGATGGAAAGCAGAGCTTTTACAGTAAGATGCTTTCAAATGTTGAGGAATTTTTAGCTGTTATGAAAGGAAAAATTGGGTAAGAGAATGAATTACATATTGAGGTACCTTACTGATATAATAAATTGTAGCTAATTGTACTTGGTAGTCTTGTCATAGTATTTCTATTTGGTTACCACATACAGGTACAGAATAATACAATATGATATGATACAATACGATGCAATACAAAACCATTCAATGCAGCAGAATCTGATATGGTAGAATACAACTTCCACCCTGTTTCTGCTGAAGGAAATCATTTTAAAATGCTCTGTAATGATATTATACAAGGATAAAAGCCTCTCTCTGTGTTGTTGTGTGTTTTAGACACCTCCCTGTGTGTCTTTGTAGAAGTTTCCAATCTGCGTATCAAAGAATATTTTTCGATGTAACCAATTTCACTTCAGTCTCATGTGAGGGCAACATGTTTAATGTTTGCAACGACAGTAACCAAGAGGGAAAAAAACAAGACCAGCAGCACGCATTTCACACATAATGTTAAAGCAACTCAATGTGAAGATTCTCTTGTGTGCAGTGACATACGTACACAAAGAAGACTTGAAATAATGTAATGGCAGATTTTGCTCTGGAGAACTATTAACTTAAACCATGTTTTGTTTCTCCGGACTTGTACTATGCTTATGCAGACCCAGTCTGGCTGAATATCAGTGTCACAGTAGGATTAGGGAAGGAATTTCCATCTTATTATGCTTGGAATCTAGTTCTTGCTAAATCCTCATTCCCCTTGTTTAGCACCACTGGTGCTTTCTTGTCTCTCTCCAAATAGCTGGAAGTCAGCTGTAAGGAAAATAATCAGTCTATTTAATGGTATACCGTTCCAGAAAAGCAAAAAGAAAACAACGCTAATTATTTGTGTCCCTTAGAGTGAAAACATTAAAAACTCCCATCAAAAGAAATTTGCTTGCTACGTGTCTTTACCGTTCCCTTGAGTTTTCCATGTTTTCCACAAACATACTTTTGACTATTCTGACTGACTGACTGTGAGAGTCTGTTATGCATGTTGCACTGTAAAATGTTCAGTTCCGTGTTTGCTACGGTCTGATTTGAATCGCTGACAGTCAAGTGAGCAGCATAATGAGGACATAGCAGACGACTTTAACTTGGTTAACCTCTTGTACAGGAGTTAGCCTTCATGTGATTTAAATTAACCATTTTATCATATGTGAGCGAAAGAAACAGGACTGTAGATACAGATAGGGACTCTTGAGGTGGGAGAGGAGATACACTTAAAGCAAATGTAACTTTTTTATTGCTTTTCTTAACTTTGCACTAAGGTGGTTGATTCACCTCTCACACCAAGCTGTCTTGCACAACATCTGACATGATTATATGTAATGATGTATGACCTGTCAAGAAATGCTCCTGTCCTGATGTCATATCTGTCTGGCCCCCTACTCCTAATCGCCTACCTCCTGACAACATCTTTATTTACAGACTGCCCATTCTACAAGGTGGTACATTCACTTTGCTGGCACCTTCCATGGCACTGCTGTCCATGCCAGAGTGGACATGTCCTGCTTGGACCCAAAATGCCAGCCTAGTCAACACCTCCTCCACAGACTTCATAGAGGTGTGGCAGAGTCGAATGAGAGCAGTAAGTAAACCATCTGACCTTCGTAATCACAACTCACAGAGTGAGACAGATTGAAGAAGTATCACTCAGATCTGGAGTTCCGCCTTATCTCCAAAAAGAGTTTTATTATATTTTAGCTCATTGTTTTTACAGCCTGCAATTTTAACGTTTTGGTTCAGTGTCACAGCTCTTGCCAACCTTGTGTCCAGGCAGCTGTTTTCAGTGAAAAGACAAAATACATCACCAAATGGCAGACATGCAAAGTTAGCAACTAGCTGGTGAACATAGTGGAGGATATGGCAGCTAGCTAAGAATCATAGCCTATATACTTTATTTACTAAAACTTAACAGACATAATATAGTACATACATTTGTCAGGCCACTAGAAAGACATGAGTAGGCAACTGTTTGCTAACATGTTAGCCATATCAACTTATCAGACCATATCAAATGAGTGTATGATGTTTGTAAGTGGACAAAAAACAAACACAAGGTAAAACACGAAGGTCTACTTTACTACAGCTGCTCTGTGTGAAAAAACCCCACCACATTAGCCTTCCTAACTTGCTGGTAGCTAATGTTACTTGCATTAATTATAACATTTAAATGTTGCTAAACATTTATATGTTATTATATATGAGAACTTTCTCCGATGTTGCTGCTGACTGATTCTATAAAGACTTGCTGGTTTGAGCTCAAACAGCTATTTGAAAAAGGATGGCTCTATGCTCACAGCAGTGAGTGCCAAAAGGGATAGGATGGTAGCCTAAACATGGAGAAGTTATTTATTAAGTTTATTAAGTTATTCAGAGGTGTTTGTTCATGACCAACAATATAATGTTATTTTCTATGTTTGTGTATTTGATTTAAGTAGCTAGAGCAACATTAGCAGCTCAACCCATTTTGCTTGTTTGATTGCTGTGTAATGGTAACGTGATGTGTGCACATTTCATGCTAGCTTGAACTCTTGCTCCTGTGTGTATAAACCATGGATTTATTGTAGCAGATAACAAGACCTGGATAGGGGTGCCGCTGTTCAGCTTTGCTACGAATTTTGCCCAGTGGCCACTTGTGGTATTGTAGAAAGAAATTCCCCTGGGCCCAAAAAGCATACCCAAAGGCCACCATTTATATCTGTAAAATTTTTCCTCAAGTCAATCTGATTGAAAAGTCTGTGACATTGTCAGAATGTAAAGTCTATGGGAAGAGTAGAAGTCGCTTGTGGTGCCAGCGCATACCCTGGAAGTAAACCCAGAAGCCAGAAAGCAATTATCATTGGACTGACTAGACGCCATCTTTGGGTCTGGTATCCATCCATGGTTAAAACAATAGCAACACATAGTTTTCGTGATTGTTGAGGTTGTGTAGCTAGGTGTGGAGGAGGAGCTGGATCCATCAATCTTAGATTACAGCATTTGTAATGGACAGTGGATACCCCAGCAGAACAGTACCAGTGGTGTGAACAGCTGTTTAAACCATCTGTTATTTGCACATGGTATCAAAAATGTGATGATGATATATTCTTTTTAAAGATAATGACTTATGTTGATTTCTGGTAACCGTTGTAATAATAGCGATGCCACATTTTGACTGTCATCTTACTTGTGTGTGTCTTCAGCTACAGGGGTCCATTATGGTGGGCTCACTCTTCCAGGTGTTTGTTGGTTTCTCCGGCCTCATCGGCTTCTTCATGTGCTTCATTGGACCTCTCACCATTGCTCCCACCATCTCTCTCATTGGACTGTCCCTGTTTGACTCAGCTGGTACCAGTGCTGGCAATCACTGGGGCATCTCTGCCATGTGGGTAAAATTCCCAAACGGTGTCTTTTAGAATTTGGGTGATTCTGCTACAGTACAAAATGCAAATGCAAAAATGAGTACTCAGACAGTAGACAGTTTTCATGTCTGCCATAATATTCTTTTTTGAATTATAATATAACTTATTTTTTACAATAATGTCACATGTAAGCAATAGAATAAGCTCTTGGCTAAATGGAGATTACTGTAAAACAGAGTTTATGCCAGTTTAATGCATTTTTTGAATTATAATATAACTTATTTTTTACAATAATGTCACATGTAAGCAATAGAATAAGCTCTTGGCTAAATGGAAATTACTGTAAAACAGAGTTCATGCCAGTTTAATGCATTTTTGCCCAACAAACCTGTTTTATAGATTATGTTAAATCTGCTTGAACCCATGCCCAGAGGGCAGCCACATTTTAAAAAACAATAATAGACTTGAAATCTGTATAAAGTCTTAATCTAGGAAAGCCTATTAAAAGTTCCAGGCCAAAGAACCTGCTTAGTTGTCCTACTTTGTTTCATGTTGGTCAGATCTAGACTTTACAACAAAGTAGTGGTGTTGTACTTAAATTTAATGCTGTTGATTTTATATTGTGAAGTAATTTCTTTGTCTCTGTCTCTCACAGGACCACAGCACTGATCATCCTGTTCTCACAGTACCTCCGTCACATACCTGTACCATTTCCTACATACAGCAAGGATAAAAAACTGCACACCTCCCGTGTCTATGTTTTTCAGATCCTCCCTGTATGTTTAATAAGTTGTCTTTCCTATTTGCCAGTAAATTTTCGTTTGGATCGAGATTTATGATTTATTAAATTTAGCCTTCTTAGACAAGATAGCAAAGGTGCTTTTTTCCCCCCCATATCCCCAGGTTCTGCTTGGAATCACTTTGTCTTGGCTGATCTGCTACATTTTGACAACCTACAATGTACTTCCTTCTGAACCAGACCGGTACGGTTACCTGGCCCGCACTGATCTAAAGGGAGATGTTATAAGCCAAACTCCTTGGTTCACTTTTCCATACCCAGGTAAGAGGCTGCCAAGCTATGATCTAAAGTGACATTTTACTTATAAAAGTTAGAAAAAAGGTATCACAGACTAAACTTACAGTGGCATTGTGTTTTCTCTTGTGGAATCCAAACTTAGGTCAGTGGGGGTTGCCGACTGTGAGCCTGGCAGGGGTGGTTGGCATATTAGCCGGTGTGATCTCCTCCATGATAGAGTCTGTTGGGGACTACCACGCTTGTGCCAGGCTATCTGGGGCTCCACCTCCCCCCAAACATGCTATCAACAGGGGTATTGGCATTGAGGGACTGGGCTGTCTGCTGGCTGGAGCCTGGGGTACAGGAAACGGTACCACTTCATACAGTGAGAATGTCGGAGCCCTCGGTATTACAAAGGTAAGATGAGCCTCCGCGTTGGCTAGAAAGAGTTTATCTGGAAGATCTTTACTCAATCTGATACATTTGTAGATAAGCATAACATGGGTATATTGACGTGGCACTACTACAGACAGAGGCCTTTTCTTTTTCTTTCTTTTCTTTTTGAAGGTTGGCAGTCGCATGGTGATAGTAGCCAGTGGAGTCTTGATGGTTGTCATGGGTATGTTTGGTAAAGTGGGCGCTGTATTCACCACTATCCCGTCACCTGTGATAGGAGGGATGTTCATGGTTATGTTTGGCGTCATCTCTGCAGCAGGAGTTTCCAATCTTCAGGTACACACTCTAAAACACTGAGCATTTTGGCAAGAGATTTTTTTTTAATCAACCTTAATATTGTATGAAAATAAAACAATACATTTCTCCTATGTTTTTCCCCCTCATATTTTCAGTATGCAGATATGAATTCGTCTCGAAACATCTTCATTTTTGGCTTCTCCATGTTCTCTGGTCTGGTCATTCCTAACTGGATATTAAAAAACCCAACAGCTATTGCTACAGGTACATGAATAAAATGTCACTACACAATTTCCTTAAACGTAGCATACTTTTACTTAATGTTCTTAACTGAACTACTTTCATTGTGTTTTGTTCAGGTATGGTCGAACTCGACCAAGTGCTGCAGGTACTTCTGACAACCAGTATGTTTGTAGGAGGTTTCTTTGGCTTTATACTGGACAACACAATTCCAGGTATGTTTTCCATTTTATATAATTGTAAATTTCTTTATTTCATTAGTATTTTATTATGTTTAAGTAATCTTAATCCTCATCTATATTAACTCATATTATCGTATTAACTGCAAAATTACATTGTAAAAATATGTCATATAATGTTGGTAATTTGACGCAACAGAAATGTCAAGTGAAGAGTCAATACTAGCCAAATAATGTATTCCAAAGCAGATGCTATGAGTGACTGACTGCTGCGTGTCAAGTGATTATCACAACAGTGAAGGGATAGATATTCAGTGTCTGGGGCATGGTAAATGATTTGGCTTGGGTTAGATCAAGATTACAAGGTTACAATAGGGGCTCGCTGGGTCATCACTTGATAGTTAAACACAAACGCTAGATTATAAAAGAAAAAGCGTTGTTAAAATGTTAAAATGTTGCTTTGCTGATTTATATAAGCAACCGATGTTTTTTGTGTTTTTAACTCAAATAATACGAAGGCAGTCAGCAATCTCATTCCTCCAACAGGCTGTAATAGTATGGTTTAACAACACATTTAACACGTGTCCAACAGGATCAAAGCATGAACGAGGCATCCTTGCCTGGAACAAGGCTCACGAGGATGACTCCAGCAACACACTGGAGAGCGGAGAAGTTTACAACCTTCCCTTTGGCATCAGTTCTTACTTGTCTTCTTCATCCTGGCTCCTGTACATACCTTTCTGCCCTCCTGGTGTGCCCAGCTCCCTGGATAGATGCGGGGCAGATACCAATGCCCTGGGGCCTAAGCAGCCACTGGGACAACTAGGGCCTTCACAGACCATTATTGGAGTTGCACTGTGAGTGGTCACTTCATCACCATCCGAGGCAGCTCAGTTTGGACCTCCTGTCCTTTTGTTAAAGACACTGTACTGTGATAACATGGTGCAAAGTATTTCACATGATTTTTTAAAGTGATATTTGCAAATTACATCTTGCAAGATTAATATATGGACATGGAGACATTTTGTATTCAGAGTTTATCACTGTTCAGTATAAACAATGTCTTTTTTGGTTTCAAGCTTGATTTTTAACTTGTTCGATCTTATCAGTTTTAGATTGCAATCACAGCCAGGTGCTAGTGAACACTGTGAATGTAAGTAGATCCATGATGTTTGTTGCTGCATTCAGTACATAAATCCAATGTATCGTTTCATGTATATACAGTCCCTCATTTGAATTAACTTTCAAAATTTGAATAATTGCATATTGCCTGCCAATATACACAACGCAACATTCCCTCAGTGCACAAATCAGGAAACCCCACTGATCTGGATTTTTAAAAATAAAAATAAGGTTTTTCTTATGTGCATATTAAACTGAAACACAGAGCCATTGTTCAGCAACACCTTTATCCGTTCAGTTTGTCCCTGTCAGATCCTGCTTGATGGCTTTGTACAGACTAACAAAAGACTCTGCCCACACATCTCGCTGGTGTTCAGTAGTGGAATTGACCATCTGCTGGGCAGTGTATGCCATGGTCAACAGGGTGCGCTCAAAATCGTCTTGACGCAGGTGACCGATATTATTTGAAAGGTCAGAGATGAGCCTAAATATGTCTGTTAGCTTCCTGGGAATGATCTCCTCACAGATGACTTCTAGGATTCTTGTCTTGTGGAGGGAAGCTAGCTCAGCTTCTTGCACTGAAAACTCTCCACTGGCCCCAAAGTGTACGCCAGCCAGCAGGATCTAGTAGATGACAAGAAGAAGAATACATTCAGTGTTCATTATTGAGGTTTATTTGCTAGTTTTACACTTCAATGACTTATTTACAGATATATTTGTCTCACCTCAAATAATAGATGAACATCATCAAAAGAGTTATGGAAGGTAGGGTTCCCAATGTTTGTCACCCCTCTTTTTATCCTGCTTGCAGCTGGGAATAGGGCTAGTGGGTAAAGAAAGCCAGACAGTGAGAATGAGGGGTGGTAGAAAAGTAAAATTTCCTTTCAGGTTCCATCACATGTTTTTGTCTTTTGTGATTTACTGCTATGCACCCAAAAGGCTTCTTAAATCTGTTGAGTTGCAAATCCCTGTAAAGAACAGATAAACTCTAAACTGTAAGGTACCATGAAAGACAAGGTTTTACTGGGGTACTGACGTTCTGGCACATGTAAGACCCAGGTTCAACAGGCTCAAATTGTGACATACTGCAGTTAATTTGTGAAATGCACACTGTGCATATCAAACTCTATGAACTCTGACCTTATAGATGACTTTTATCTGCAGGTGATGAGACATGACCTCAAACTTCAAAGGCAGCAGAAGAATCAAAGGTGGAGTAATGCACAAATTATACAACAGGTTCCAGATTACTTCAACATGCAGCGTACAGGGTTTAGCATTTCAGATCCATTCTCACAACATTCCTCATTCCCATGATTCAGACCAGGTTGTTAACCACAACAATTCTTGTACAGTCATAGAAAAATAACAGGTGAAAACCTTTCCCCTAACTTGTGCGCATGAGGAAATATAACCATTTAGCATTTGCAAAGACATTCCTTGAATACTATGCAGTGAGATTACTTAGGACTACTAATTGAACACAAACAGAGCTTTTGTTTACCAACCCCAATAAATATGTTTAACTTTCATGGACAAGATGATTAATAACAAAAACCTACAGCCATGCCAGCGGCTCTGTGAGGCTGTGAGCCAAGCGGGAATCTTCCGGTCAGACCTGCATTCTATTGAATGGCCAGCAAGGGGCGATTCTTCTGGTTGCAAAAAGAAGTCTGGTTCCATTACAAATAATGATAAAATGACCCTACTTCTCAGCTGATTTATTACCTCAGTAAACACTTTTATAATGAGTTCATGGTCTCAATTGCTAGTTTCATGTCTTCTTCAATACAACGTGATGTTTATTAGTATTATTATGGTTCTATTTAGAGGAAAATAGAGCATAAAGCAGAGTATGCTTCAGGGTGGGACTATCTGTGATTGACACGTCGTTACCATGGCGGCCTGTCTATCAGGCTAGAGTGACTTGTACCCACAGCACTGTGTACATTTAACCAGGGCTGTTGAAAATGCTTCAAAGGAGCTGGCTGTTCATTTACTCTGGTGAGTACTTTTTTTTAAGCCTGTTTTTCTCTAGTCAAAATTATCATCCCAGTTAAATAACAGTTAAAGTGAATTACAGATGCACCTAGCTAAGCAACGGAGCGTTAGGCTCCACAGTCTCGTCCAGTGCTGCTGATTGCAAAAAATCAACATTGTGGCGCCCTAACAGCCAATCTCGAAGCTTCAAAACGGCAGTCCACAAACCAACGGGTGACGTCACGATGACTACATCCACTTCTTTTATACAGTCTATGGGCTGTACAGCAGTGCTTTGAGCAAACATGCTTACATGCTGAGAAAGCTACAATTCCATACTACATACAGATTCTCTAAGCAGGTTTTTAGTTTGTTGTTTGTTAACACTGGAAAAGGAAATGGGGGAGCTACTCACAGCTGGAAAAACATTTTGTGGGGGGTAGTGAAACAGCTCAAAACAAAATCTTGGAAAACAAAAAATGAGTTTGCAAAAAAAAGTTTTGCTAATTTACACTTAACACAAAGTATAGCTGATGAAAAAGCCATAGACCACCATTATAAAAGAGACAGTAAAACACTTTAAAAGACACCTAAAACAGCAAACAAGGTCTCTTTCTATTATGAATCCATAAGGGTTTTGTACCTTTAAAAGTCTACTGGCAAACCCCAAAGCATTTTTGACTTATGCACTTCCGGCATCCAGTTCCTACAATAGATCACTGGTATTTGGTCAGACACCAAGGTATTGGATGAAGTGAAATTTTGACCTGATAATAGCTCTAGATCAAAAGTTGGTTCAGTTCAATTTTTCTTGAGGGCGACATGCAAATCTGTACCATATGTCACAGAAATAGTTGTCATTTAACACACAATCACATGATGGCACTACAAGTCATAAAGTCATTAGGATTCATTTTTCTGGGGACCATGAATGTCTGTACAAACTTTGGTACCAATCTAATGTAGGATTAAAATTTAGACCTGGGCCAGATAAAAGTCTGAAGTCCTCTTCCAACAGTATATGTTGAAATATTTCACTAGAAGTGAAAACTTTGACCTGCTGGTGGCCCTAGAGGAAAAGTCAGCAGATCACTGAAGTCAGAGGGATTGCTCCTCTGGGGAACACGAATGTCTGTACAAAATGTTATGGTATTCCATCTGATAGTTGTTGAAATTTTTCAATCTGGACCAAAGCTGTGGACACACCAACTGACTGACCAGACTGACATTGCCATCCATCAAGCTACTAACATAGCTAAAAGGTAGGTATAAAGATAGATGGGGCCGATAGAAGGAAATTGAGACCAGAGATAAATTCAGACCTCTGTTTCCACTTACTGTCCAGTATGTCCAACATTCTTTGCTGGCTGGTTTTATTATTGCGTGTAAAGTCTGGAGCTCATGCAGTTTACATTTCATATGGTATATTAATCTCCAGGTGATTAGTTCCAGGTAACAATGTTGAAAAGAGGAAATCATACAGACAAAATGCCACCCTAGCATGCAGAACTGTAGACAGTAGTAGAGTGACTGATAGCGTTAAAGACTGGACTGTGTTGTTTGATGTCATTTTTAACCTGCAGCAGTGCAATCAAAACCATTAAACCTGAACAGTTTTGTCTGGAGTCAAGCCTGGAGTACAGACGTTGTGACCAGCTCATAAAGTATTTATCATTTGTGGGATAAAAAGAAAGAGAGAGAAGTTTGGAAACACACTTAAGAAATCCATTAAATGTCTAAGCCAGAGTCAATTACCCAACTGCCAACTCTTTCACTCCCTGCCATCCACTTGTTTATGTCAGGCTCAACATGTGCAACAAGATGATGATATTTTAATAGTCTTCTGCCAGATCAATAATGGATCAAATAATCCACACAAGTCAGTCATAATGTTTGGATAATGATCTTCAGTTAAATAAGGCCAAGTACTGTGTATGTATGTGCCTCTGATGACTCCAGCTTTTTAAAGACAAAGTGCTCCTTACTGCTGCTTGGATTTCATCCTTGAATTTTGACTCACATTTCCTGTCAATGGAGAAATGTCCATAGCCGAAACCAGAATACTGAACCATCAGAACATTTGTACCACAGTTGTCCGCACGTGTTAATTTCTGTTCATGTCTGTAGTGTTTTTACAGTGAGTGATCTCACCCCCTGATATGAAAGGAATTCTATGACCAGAGCAGGTCTGAATATCTCCGCGGTTTGTTTTTTATTCACTCTAGGAATATGAGTTTCCTCTCTCAGACCTTTTTTGGGCCCTCCCATTGTTTTCATATTAGAAACAGGTGCAGAGGACATAGCTAGATGTGAAAAAAAGAAAGTATTTATCCTCCAAATATGTATCAGATTCGCCTCTAAATTAAATAATATAAATCAAATGTAAAGGTGTTACTAAGAAGATGGGCTAATCAAGACAGAGCAGTTTTTATGCATGGAGGGGGATTGCAGTAAAATGTCTGAGATAAATGTTCTTATGTTTAATCCACATAATGAGGTCATTCCTGTTACAAAACTATGCTTGTACAATATTTTCTTAATTTGTTTTCAGTAAAAAAATCCAGAGTTTTAAAAGAAAATAAAAAGATGAGTTTTCCTGGTTTAATATTACAATACATCTAAATCAAGGAACAAGGAAAGCTACAGCCAGGATTTAATCACTGCACTCTAAAAAAAAAAAAACTTAATTGAAAAGATGTACTGACACAAAATAAATAATTTACAAAATGTTGTGTTGTCATAAATTCCCCTGTAGCCCGGACTCACAAGCAAAAAAGTACAACCCACCGTCAAATTCTTATCATCAAATAACATTGACACTGCTGCTAAATATTATTTTTGCTCTGTGAAAAAACACGTTGATACAAAAAAAGTGCTTCAGTTCAAGTCTTACCTTTAGTCCGACGTGGCGTGACACCTGTTTTGATGCAGCAGTAGAAAATTCCGACTATGGCCATCCTCCAGGGCAGCATGGTGGCTTGCTCACTCTTACAATGTTAGTTGCTTGTAACTAGTGCTGGCCAGCAGTGCTCTTCTGTTTCATTTCTCCCCTTCTCTTCACTGTGCATCTGCAGCCTGACATAACATTGGACTGAATACCTTCTTTAT